TCTTAATTCAGGCTGCTACAACAAGTTACCAGAGACTGAATGGGTTAAACATCAAACATTTATTTCTTATTGTTCTGGAGTCTGGAAGTTTGACATCAGGGTGCCAGAATAGGGTCCTTTGCCTGGTTATGTTCTGAAATGAAATTTTCTTGGTAAGTGCATGCAGTGAGTGATCTCATGTTTCATCCTCTTTTTTATGAAGGCATAACCCCGTCATGGGAACCTGGTCTAACTCTGTTTCCCTAAGTACCTCCCAATAACTCCACACCCACTGTCATCACGTTAGGATTAGAGCTTTAACATATGAATGAGGGGTGCACATATCCAGTCTAGAAGAGTTTTTTTTTTATTAGTCAAATTTTTCATTGCTGGGAGAAAATATATGATATTTGTAACTTAAAGTAGGAGAAGTTTGATTTGGCTCATGGTTCAAGAAGTTTCAGTCCATGATCAGCTGGATCCAAGGCACAAATGTCCTGGCAGAGGGTCGTGGCAGATGAAAGCTCTTCATCTCATAGTGGCCATAAGCACAGAGCCAGGGAAGAGTGAGGGCAAGAGGCACACCCCCAAGGCCACACCTCCTCTCCTGGGCTCCACATTCTAGCAGCACACTCAGATATGAACATATGCATGAATTAATCCGTGGATGCCTATAGTGGCCCAGTAATCCAATTACCTTCCAAAAGTCCCACCTCTGAACACATGAGCCTTTTAGGGTGCATTCCAGATCTAAACCATAACACTTGACAAGCAGAATCTCTAGTCTGTTGCTACTTGTGTTTCATATCTGGTTTGTTATAATTTACTTTTGTTTTACCTAGAAAGCATGAAAATGGGGTTTATTTTGTTCAGAGTAAGGTTTGTATATTTACTATTGAGGATTTTGTCAGCTTCTTTCTTCCTTGGTCTTATCTCAAAATGAGGGAAAGTCAGGCAATAAGAACTGATCATTGCTTACTAAGATACATTGAATTCTTGCAGACAAATGTATCCTGCTTCCTGACAAGCCTGTGACCACAGACAAACAAGTCTTGACTCAGGCTTGAGAATCAACCTACAGAGGAGAGAGCTGACTCGGTGATTTTGCACTTGCTATGTAACATCTTGATTTTATTTCTACATCAATGTCTATTAATCTGAGGTTTAACAGTTTCCCCTTTCTTTCAAAATGTAGTGTATCTACCAATATAGCTGGCACATCTTTTTTTTTTCTTAAACATAGAATTCCAATCTTTCAGTAATTAAAAACAAATGAAAGTTCTAAAACAATTTAGAAACTGATATAGAGTTGCTAACTTCTTAGGGTGCCAAATAAGGGCATCAAAAAGAAACTCAATAGTTTATTAATACTACATTTCATAAAGCATATTTTATGAGACTTTAGGTTATAATAAAAATTAATTCTTCCAATAATTCTTTCAAACCTTCCCCAGCACACACAAATGTACATATTTATGTATAGCTAGGTGTTTTTCCACTTTGCTGTGGGCCTGATAAACCTTTTTTTATGAATCAACAATAGAGTAAATTTAATGTATTCCATCATGATCTCTTTATTACGATCCTGATTAAGATGGTTCACTTTGTTTTCCTCAGCTTAGAAAATGTCATATATAGGAGAAAATTCAAAACAGAAACTTGTCTTATATATTAGCATAAACCCTACCTCCTAACATAGTGCTTGGCCCCTGCAAAGTACCCATAAAGCTCTTGTAGAATAAATGAATGAATGAAGGGCACATGCCTGTCCATTTTCTTTCCTCTGATTCTGGCTCTTCTGTAATGACTTAGTCCTTTGATTTATCTGTGGCTATCCTCTGTGACCATTTTAGTGTTCAAAAACCACAAAATGAGTCTTTCTTTGGTTGAGGACCATACATACTATTTGTTGTTTAATACATCTTCTGTCAGATTCAAGCCTTGCGGTATGTAATATCCAACACTACAATACCACCTCTGCTTGGCTCACATCCACATTTGCTCTCCAAATTTAGCAGCTAATCTGGGTGTTATTTATTTATATTCTGTCCCAGCTGACTCAAACTTCAGAAAGACTAATCCATTAGAGTAACAGAAATCAGCAAATTGCACGATATGGATAAATGCTAAGCTACCTTCTAGCTCACTGTGTTCTCATAGAGAATTATAAATCACAACTTAATGTTGCTCTTATTTAAATACTAAATTAATCAACTTTTACAAATTATTTGGCATTTAGCTTTCCAACTTTTTTCCCTTAGGCTAATAATGATGGTAGATTGCTCTAAAATGTTTGAGCCTAATTTTTATTTGTTGACATTTTTAATTTATTTTAATCTCAAGGGAATTTAGCATAGGTAGTGGATAATGGTATCTCAGAAAAGAAGTAAATAATAGGGTCTGGGTGCAGTGCCCTGGCTGGGCTTAGAGTTGTGAAGATCTTGCCTCAGGGTCCCAGAGTCCTGGGATTGTAGGTGTGTGCTTCCATGTCTGGCTGCATTTTTTAAAAATTTAAACAATTTGAGAAAGATTTTATTGCCTACCTCCTTAGAAAAGGATATGGGATTGCCTTTCAATTACACTGAATACTTTCTAGTCATGTAAAGATTGGAACTAAGCAGAAATACAATAAAAGTATTATGGAACAAAGTAAATAATACAGAAGACTAAAATTTTGAACCCAAAAGAAGTTGAATTCTGTGGTCTCCAAGTTATTTGAAGGTTGGCAACAGACTATAGTGATTACAAAAAGTCAACCCAGTTAAATAATCACTAATTGGGACCAACAAGACCTTGTAAAGATGAGGAAACTGTAGCCCAGAAAGGAAAATGGCCTTGACCACTCACTTGACAGATCCAGTTGGGTGAAGACTGGAATGTGAGCCTGACTAAGCATTATGGTGAATGCTTATTCTCCTGTACACTATTTGGGCTTCTACCGAGAAGACCTGTTTTCTATACACTCTGAGCCCTCTTCCGGTCCTGTTCACATCTCCATCTATCCTCTGACTGACAAGTGGAGCAAAGGAGCTGTGTATGCTCAAGCTGGTATTCCTTTTGCTTTTGTTTCCTATGGGATCTGCCTGCTGTTGGGAGCCTGCTGTCTGATGAGCTCTTCCCTGCTACCGATTTTTTGGGGTACCCCAATGAGCAGGCTTATCATTTCAGCATTGCCTTGCCTAGGTTTGAAAAGCTGTAAAATCTTAGGTGTAGTAGCAGGCAGCCTGATTTCAGTCCACTTCTAAGCCATGTTCTCTAATTGTTTTATAAAAAATAAATTGGGCATTTTGATTTTCATCCTTTCAGTCACTCTAGATTTTAAGCAGAATCAAAGACAAAGAATACTATTTATTGGACCCCCTAAAACATTGAGATGAATCTGCTGTCCTATGGAAAGACAATGATACCATCATGATGGCTAAAGAAAGAAGCCCCAGACCTACTGCTTCAAATACAGCAGCTGAGGATCAGCAGAAACAAGCTATGGCTCTTTCCTTCCACTCCTCTGCATCTGGGCATCTTCACGGGTCCCCATCATGCTGAGCATACCCATCTAATGTTCAACCACAAGAGAATATTGTAGTGTGAGTAAAATGAGCATTTTGGGGTGGGTGCTAGGAAAAGAAAAACTTTCTTCCTATGTTGGACTTGTTGCTGGCTGAAGCTGAGAGACCCTAAGAAATTTCATTTCCTTCAGTTACTTGTCCAGGGGATCGCTTAGAGACTGTCACACCTCCCAACACAGTGTCTATACCACAAAGGGAGCTCTAGCCTCATTAATGTGCTATCGATCATGGATACCACCCAATATCTCATGATATTAAAAAGCTCAATCAGACAAACCCAGAAGTAGACATTTAACATAAAAAAATTTCAGCAAATGAATGGGAATTCAAAAAAGGTAAAGGATCATTTTTCCAGTTCTATAATAAAGTGGATTTAGAGCAATTTCTCAAGTTAAGTGGCTCTCCAAATCATTTTTAAAAACTCTAAAGTAACAATTAAATATTTAAATTTACTTTGTTATTTTCTGTGATTTCAGAAGGAATGTATGTGTATTTGAAAAAAATTAAAAAGATACACCAGCATAAAGCAAATAATCAATGCTCCCACTACATAGAAAGAATCACTGATAATATCTTGAAGTATTTTCTAGACTTAATGCCATGCATTTCCATACTTATTTTCTTTCATTTATTTTTTTCCATACTTATTTTAAAGGGCTCATTCCACACAGACCATTTTGTAACCTGTTTTTCTTCTGTGACCTAATTTTATTGCTTATCTTAAGAGACAACCTCAAGCACATTCTGTGTATCAAGATACAGCTGCGACTAGACAGCCAGAGAATTAATGTTTCTTGAAAGAGGCTCAGGCTCTGGTGTTTAACGAAGCCCGCTCAGTGTGTGTGACAGCAGAGCTAAGCCTGAGGATCAGACTCCGCAAAGCAAATACCACTTTGGACAAGACAGATTTAGGGATGTTATTAGAGGGGCTGCCCTCTCAAAGATAATTAAATCTCTCCAGAGGTTAATCTGGCCAATGAATATAATACCTGGAGATGAGAAAGTTCTTTCATTGTTGCTGAATAGCTGTCAAACACAAGTGATAAGAAGGTGGAGAAAATGAGTGATAATTGGAGTTTGAGAATCCCTGGGGTAGGTTTCAGCAGCATGTGTGATGGCTTAGTGTACACCCATCAGTTGCTTCCTGCTGCCTTCATCTTCAGCATAACAATAGCATCAGGAGAGGCCACAAAGACCTAGCTGCCTACACTGCAGCCACACTGGAGTTAGAAATACTGCCATGGTCTAACTTTTCATTCTTCTCAAATTCATATGTCAAAACCTAATCCCCAAGGCAATAGTATTAAAAGATGCACATATGTAGGAAGTGATTCATTCCTAAGGGTCAAGCCCTTGTGATTGAGATTAGTGCCAGCTTTGTTTTGCTAAAAAAATACCAGAGGCTGGATAATTTGCAAGTAGTTTCTTTGGCTCACCTTTCCAGCGGCAGGAGGGTCCATAAAGCATGGTGCTGGCATCCTAAGGCCTCCTGGCTACATCACAACAGAGAAGAGAAACAGAGAAGTAGAGAAGGAGCCAGCTGCATGCGGAAGAGTCCAAGCACATGTGGTGTTCTTACTTTATGACAGACAGTTCTGATGAGAACTAATCCATTCAAATGGGACCTGACCCACTCTTGTGAGAAGGTATTAATCTTCCTTTCCCAAGGCTGGAGCCGCCGTGACTAATTACCCTCTGCTAGCCCCACCTTTAAAGTTTCTACCATTTCACATTACTATCCTAGAGACCAAGCTGTCAGCACCTGGTTTTCTGTGGAATAAATTATGTCCAAATTGTAGCTGTGCCTTTATAAAGGAGGCCCAATGGAGCTTGCTGTCCTGTCCACCTTGAGGACACAGCCAGAAAGTGGCACCTACCAGGAAGCAGACCACCACAAGACACCAGCCTGGGCCTTGATCATGAGCTTCCCAGCCTCTCAAACTGTGAGTAATAAAATTCTGGTGTTTCTAAGTTATGAAGACTAAGGTATTTTATTATAGTGGCTTGAATAGACCAAGAAAAACATTAGACACAATAAAAGGCGAGGGGTAATTTCATAAATAGTCAGTGGTAGCTTCTTTCTCCTTAAATTATGAATGCAGTGAAAGGAAGAATACATACTTGTTTTGTAGAAACGAACCTTGGACACTACCTACACATATGACCTAAACGGTATGATCTCAGCTTCAATTTTCTTATATTTCCTCTCTCTCCCATTTTAGTACACATACACATATGAGGGAGGGAGGGAGAAAGAGAAGGAAAGAGAGAGGCTGGGAGAGAGAGAGACAGAGAGACAGAGACAGAGAGAGAGAGAGAGAGAGAGAGAGAGAGAGAGAGAGAGAGAGATTAGATAAACAGTGAAGAATTGTTTTGCTCATCTGGTCCTACCACTAAGATTCTTGGCTATAGTAGCTGAAGTCTGTGGTGTGCACAGATGGTGCCTGTGTGGGTGCTCTCACATCAGAGCTCCTTGACACGGGTGATGTACATTCTTGCTGAGATTGTTTGTGCCCCTGTCCCTTGACTTGTCTTTCCTCCTATCCTGCAGAGCGACTCTTTCCCAGTGTTCAGCTTTTTCTTTATTTATTAAAGGTGAGTAATCAGATCATGGTCTCTGTAGAATTTCATTCATTCTGCAGAGACATGTTTCACAGCTCTTTAGAATTACTTACTATTACCTTTGGATTTTTAGCAAAATTCTTAGACAAGAAGAAGAGTCATGCTCAAATGTCAAATTTAATAGTCATTTAAAATATTTTTAAATAATCTTTGCAGTCAGATAAAACTGAGTTCCTCTCTGGGCTCTGCTGTATACCAGCTTGGGCATCTTACTATCTCTCTAAGCCTTTGTTTACTCACTTATAAATAATGACAATTAGCTTTATAAGACTATTGTGAGGATTACCACACAACACATGAAACTTACTGAGAACTCAACACACTGAGACTCGTATTGTGATATTAATGATCACATAAAAAGGTGTAAGTGTTGAAGAGCCATGGAATGAAAAACTTTGAGATAGACGTTATCACATTATAAAAAGTGTTATCAAATTGATATGAAATAATATTTGTGATGGAAAATAGAGAAAGCAATCGTTTCAGATCCCCAAAATAACTCAGCTCCAGAAGCTTCTCTGGGCCTCTGCCAGCAGGTGAAGTTAAGAGGAAATTTCAGTTTTGCTCCTAGGAGTTTGGGGATTTCCTGGCATGCAGCTTGTTTAATGGTTGTTAATACATAATGGACACCTTTATAGTTGGAGTGAATGACTGTTCTTATGCTGTAATAAAGATAGATTTTCCATACATTCATAGGAGGAAAACAGTGTGTTTGGATGTGTGTGTGAAGGAGAGAAGAAAACAGAGGGCTGGTAACCATTCAGACAGCAGGGGGCCACTCTTGCTCCGATTTACAGTGTGTGGTAGGCTGGAGTTTTGCGTGCTCAGCTCAAGGAGGCTCTATCACCAGCTCTAATGCCAAAGATCCATCTCTATTCTGAGAAGTTTCCCTCTTTAGAAAGCAAAGTTATAGTTACTTCTAGAAAAAGAACAATTTGAATAGAACTTAGTCAGTGTTAACTCTTTAGTTTTTATTCCAGAGGGTGAAAATACTGTTTGAATGGACATTGAAAGTCCTTATCTGCCACACGCAGAAAAGATTAGAAAGTATTTCGCACATGGCAAAAGACTGCAACAGATTAACTTCAATACACATCTCCTCCAGATGTACTCCTCCTGCCTCTGAGATTCACAATAATTCATGTCCCTTCAGAGGCACTTAATTATAGACTGCCTTGCATATTTATTGGACTTTTGCTAGGCCCTTGAATGCATAGTATTTGTCTTACTCATTTTCTTCATTGAAGCCTGTATATTTCAGGTCACACTAGCATAGGATAAAAAAACCCCACAAAATTTTGTTTCCCCACAGAAAAAATATAGGTTTTATTCCACTGTGTCTAAAACAACAAAATTGAAAAAAAAATCAATGACCGAAATTATCCTAGCAGGTTTACAAAGGAAACCTTTATTAGAAAGCAGTGTCTTTATAAGTAAAACTGAGAACATTGCAGTTGAAGTACACTCTTGAGACCTGAGAGCCATTCTTGTTCTCTGAAAGAGGTGATGTAGTTAGAGGCAAAGTTATGCTAAATGCGACAGCAGACCACTTTTCTTTCTTGGCTGGAGTTTAGTATGGGAGCCTGAACTGTGGATCCATAAAAATGGTTTCAAAGTCAAGTGCCTTAGCATCCTTACCTATGTCCCTCAATGAATTTATCCAATACAGTTTTGGAGTATTTGCAGTGTTCTAGTTCTTCATCTTATCTCAACCCTCAGTGTGCGTGTTGTATACTCTGGTAGTGATTTTGATTGTACAAAGAAAGGTATGGATCTTTACTTTTCTCTCTCAGCATTAACATTTCACAACAGATAAGGTACTATGGAATAAACATGGGAAATTCTTGGCTAGTGGATGATGGTTTGGCTGCTGCACACCATATACATCAGCTGTTCAGTCGCATTAATATTGGCCTTGGGAAAAGTAATGCAAATCCAAGTATGGTATGAGGTCTAAGGTGATTGAGCCTCTAGGATTAGACTTGTGTGTATGTATGGTGTTCATCTTTATCATTCTATTTGGTTTTAAGCCCCTTGGAGACCAGTCTTTGCTTTCTAAAAATTTAACTTTTATGTTCATAGACAGGAACATTGATCCTTTGGAGTGTATAGTTCTATGAATATCAAAACATGTAGACTTGTATAATCACTACAATGACAATATAGAATAGAATCATTATACTCAATTCCCCACCCCCATTGTTCATGCTATCTTATTACTTTTATTCCCTCACAACTATGGCCTATTCTCTTTTTATATACAGTTTTCTCTCTATAGAATGTTATAAACGGAACTGTGGAGTATGTACATTTTTTGAGTATGCACATTTAAAAAATTGGCTTCTTTCACTCAGCAGAGTGCCTTTAAGATTGATCCATGTTGTGTGTATCAATAATTTACTGCATTCTCTTGCTGAATAGTATTCCACTGAGTATCAGTGTAGCAGAATGGTTTTATCCACCAAACCACTGACAGGCATGTGCATGTTTTTGTTTGAGCATTAATTTTTATTTCTTTAAGGCACTAGGAGTAGACAACTGGGTTACATATAAGCATACCATTGTATAAGAAACTACCACACTGTTTTCTAGAGGGTCTGTCACATTTTGTATTTCCTCAAGCAATATATTACAGTTCTAATTTCCCTACATCTTCATCAGCACCTAATACTGTCAATATTTTTCATTTTAGTTATTCTAATTAGTATACAGTGTTGTCCACATGATTTTAATTTGGTTTTCAGAAATGGCTAATGATATTTGACATCTTATGATACTATTTGCCTTCTGTGTATGACCTCTGGTAAAATCTTTTTTCCATTTTTAAATTGGTTTGTTTTCTTATCATGAAGCTTTAAGAATTCTTTAGACATTAACATACAGATCTTCTTTGAATATATGATTTGTTAAACCACTCTCCCTCATTAAACCTTGTTTTTTAAGTTTCTTAACTGTCACTTGTTGAGGAAAAGTGTTTTTGGTTTTATCATTTTTTCCTTTTGTGAATTATGCTCTTTGTGTCACATCTAAAATTTTCTTTACTAAACTCAAATCATGAAGATTTTGTCCATATTTTACTTGAAAAGTTTTATAGTTATCTTTTTTATTTATTAAGTTTATTGATCTTTTATGTTTATATATATATTTTATGTTTATACATATGGATAATTTTATATAATTTTTGTGTAAGGGATGATATTTACATCAAGGCTTATTTATGTTTTTTTATATGGATTATAATTCAACTGTGGTGGAACAATGTTTTGAAAAGACATTTTTCTCCTTTGTATTTTCTTTACTCCTATTTAAAACCAAGTGGGCATATCTTTGGGGTTTTACTTCTAGACTAATCTGTTCCATTGCCCTATGTGTTTATACTTTCACCACTTTTACAGTTATGATACTATAACTTTATTGTATAATCTTAAAATTGAGTAATATGGTTCTTCCAATTTTATTCATTTCCAAAACTATAGTTCTTTGCCTCTTCATAAAAATTTTAGAATCAATTTGACCAATTCTATGCCATAAATCCTGCTAGGAATATTATTGGAGCTGTATTAAATTTATAGATCAAAGTGAGAAGAGAGAATTGAGGTATTTCCTGTGCTTAGCCTTCCAGTCTAAGGACATGGTATATTTAAGATTTTTTTTAGGTCTTCTTTATTGTCTTTCACCAGTGTTGTGTATTACTTTTATTATGAAGATCTTATCTATGTTTTAGTAGATTTATACCAATTACATACTTTTGGAATCATTGTGAATATGATTGTTCTAAATTTATTGTTCCAATTCATCATTGCTGTTCTATTAACTTTATATTGCTTCTGTGATAGAGTGCCACACATTTAATACCTTTAAATAATAAAAATTTATTCATTTTCTATTCTGAAGGTGATAAGTACAGTGCATATCTTACTGGGTCAAAATAGCATTGTTAGCAGAACTGTGTCTCTCTCTGAAGGCCCTAGGGGAGCGCCTGTTCTTTACCAGATTCTAGTTTAGCCGCAGCCCTTGGCTCGTGGCTCTTTTCTTTCATCTCAAAACCAGCAGGGGCAGGTTGTGATTTCTGATCTTCCTCCATCTTTGCATCCCTCTCTGATCATGGTGGGAACACGCTGTCCTGTTTTAAAGAATCACGTTATTAAGTTGGGTTCACTTTTATAATTACGTTGCTTTCCTCATCTCAAGGTCTGTAATCTTAATTACACCTACAAAATCCTTTTTGATAGGTGGAGTAACATATTTTTAGGCTCCATACACCTTACAACATTATTGTGGCTATCTTGGGGAGGCTGTCTGCATAGCATGGGTATATGTA